GCACAAGGACAATAAAGCCGCCATGGAAATATCTAGGGCTGAAGCAGTGGGCCAAAGATCGAGACATATCGATATAAAATACAAACACGTTAGACAGTTCGCAAGCATAGGATTCATAAGAGTTGTACATTGTGATACAGAAGAACAAACAGCGGACATTATAACCAAACCATTGCAGAATAAGCAGCACACGTACCTAACATCAAAATTAGGTGTCCTCCTGAAAAAGACACCTCAGGTATGCACCACACAAGAACACCTCGGCCAGGCATTTAGAGGGGGTTTTGTCAGGAGTAAATGCCTTGCCTCTGACCCAGGGCTAGAAGCATGGAGGCTGGGCAAGCCAACCCCCAAGGTCCACCCTAACCCAATAGCCCCTCCTTACCTTAGCCACGCCCAGGGGGTACTTAAGGGTCAGCCATGCGGTCCTGCAGCAGTTCCAGACTTGTACCTGCAATGATAAGATGCTTGATTAATAAACAATACTTGATTTAAAGAATACCTGCTTATGGAGTTATTGGGCACGATCCTTGAACACATTTAACAGATACATCAGAGGACTCGCATCACGTTTGAGTGTCCAGATTGTGTGAAAATTTCATTGGAAATTCCCACCTCATGAGACAACACTCACACACAGTGAAAAAAAAAACATTTGAAGGAGAGAAACCCCTTGAATGCCCTATCTGTGGGAAAGGTTTCAGTCACAATTACAGCCTGATGAACCACAAGAGGACTCACGCAGAAAAGAAACCTTTTGAATGCCCTGATTCTGAAAAGGGTTTCAGTCAAAATTCCAGTCTGGTGACACACCAGAGGACTCACAAGGAGAGAAACCATTTGAATGTCTGGATTGTGGGAAAAGTTTCAGTAACAATTCCCACCTTGTAAGGCACCAGAGGAATCACACAGGAGAGAAACCCTATGAATGTCCTGAATGTGGGAAAGGTTTCAGTCAAAATTCCAACCTGGTATACACAAGAGGTTTCACACAGGAGAAAAACCCTTTTAATGTCCTGATTGTGGGAAAAGGTTCAATCACAATTCCAGCCTGGTGGCACACCAAAGGATTCACACCGGAGAGAAACCCTTTGAATGTCTTGATTGTGGGAAAATGTTCAATCGGAATTCTGACCTGGTGAAACACCAGAAGATTCACACAAGAAAGAAACTATTTGAATGTCCTGATTGTGGGAAAAGTTTCAGTAACAATTCCCGCCTGGTGACACACCAGAGGACTCACTCCAGGGAAAAACCATATATGTGTCCAGATTGTGGGAAAAGTTTTCTTTGGAATTCCCGGCTGGTGAGTCACCAGAGGACTCACACAGGGGAGAAACCATATGAGTGCCCAGACTGTGGGAAAGATTTCAGTACTAAGGATAGCCTTCTAAATCATATGCTTATACATACAGGGGAGAAACCATTTAAGTGTCCTGAGTGTGAACGGTGCTTCAGAAAACCTTCCAACCTTATCGCACACAAGAAAATCCACCTGGCCATCAGCAGCAAAAGTTGCTGGATGTTTATTTTTGTAAAAATTGTACAATTTCTTTCTTTTGGGTGTCAGGTTCTTCAGGGCCTCCTGCTCAAGTAAGGGATTGGATTAGAAGATCTCAAAGGTTCCTTCCAGCTCTGTGGTTCTGTTATGTACTTGCTGTTTTCTTGGCAACAATCTCCGACTGATCTGACACTGTCTTTTCTGAGATGATTATTTTTCTTACTTTCATGTCTAGCCAAAAAGCACAATCTTTCCTATTGGTGCCCATCCATGTATTAATCAGTTTCAACTAAAAAAAGCTATTGGGGACCTTTTGTGATGTTCAGTTTGTGTATGTAGTCCTTGCTTATCTTGTTTCCTGAACCTTCAAAGTTACAATGGCACTGTGAAAGCAGACATACAGCTGGTCCCCAAATTTAGCACTTGCTCAGTGACCAGACGTCTGCAGTTCCTGTGGTTATGAAGGTGCAGGAAAAGGAGTTGCACCAGTTAAGGTTCCACCAAGCAGTGCACATTTATGATGGTTGCAGCATCCCACACTGCTGATCCCCATTTGTGACCTTCCCAGCTAGCTTCTGAGAAGCAAAACCAGTGGGGATGCCAGCAGGAATTTGCAAGCCAAGGTCGTGTGAGATTGCCCTTCACAACCCACCGTGATTTGCTTAACAATGGCAGAGGAACAATACTCCAATATTTATTTTGTCACATGCCCACCATAAATATGTTGGAAGAAATATCCATCTGGTTCAGTTCCAAGCTGGGAGAAAAACATGGAAGCTGATTGGAAACATGGTTTATTGATGAAGCCGAACCACACACAAAGACAGCATGAAATTCTGGTTCAGCTGACCCACTGGTTTGATGAATACATGGATTTTTATAAGTTTCACAGATGCTGCTAGCTAGGGGGGTTGTGCAATGTCTGAAATGCCCTTAGGAGATTGTGCAATGTAGTGGGCCCTGTGTCTTCTGCTAAATGCTTTATTATGTCCTAAAGGGTCTTAATCCCATCATCCTGGAGCTGAAGGTCTTTTGTTTTAGCAATAGCAATAGTACTTAGACTCATATACCGCTTCACAGTGCTTTAACAGCCCTCTCTAAGCGGTTTTACATAGTCAGCATATTGTCCCTAACAATCTGGCTCATTTTACCCACCTCGGAAGGATGAGTCTGATGAGATTCGATCTGCCAAATTGCAGGCAGCTGGCAGTCAGCAGAAGAAACCTGCAGTACTGCACTCTAACCACTGCTCTTATAGATAGGCTGGCCCAATCTTTCTTAATGGGCACAAAATGCCTGCTGGGGGCTATTAAGAAAGACTGAGTCTGTCTTCCTACCTCTAAAAAAACATGTTTCTCCATTTCTCATTTAGGGAAATATAATATTCTGCCTTTTTAATATTTCCCAAAATATTTCATTCTTCTGGGGAGTGGTGCTGACTTTCTACAAATCATAAAAAGCTCTTTAGATTTCCAACATTCATTTGAGGTGCCTTTAAACATTCTGGACAATTTGTCCAGTGATAGATACACACAGTACATCATCTTATCCAACTTTTCTTTTATAGTTTAATGTGAATTTTAGATCTTTCATCTGTCAAACAAAAAACATATTCTGTCAATGACTACTTCAGCTTCAACCACAACAATACCTGACCAAATAAGAGATACAAATTCAAGGTAAACCGCTCCAAATTCAATTGCAGAAAATACGACTTCAGCAACAGACTGGTCAATGTGTGGAATGCACTAGCAGACTCTCTGGTTTCTTCCCCAAACCCCCAAAACTTTAACCTTAGACTGTCTACTGTTGACCTCACCCCATTCCTAAGAGGTCTGTAAGGCCTAAGCGCACCATCGCTCCTGTCCTCATGTCCCTTTTTACTCTTATTCTTTTCATGTATTCCAATTATGTTTATCCTTTTATATGTTTTCTTATATATGCTTTACAAATAAAATAAAATAAATGAAAAAATAAAATGTCATGAACTTTCAGGGCTCATAACTAATCTTCGTAAGCTTAGAGGTATCACATTTCACTCTTTAGTTTGGGTCAGTTGCCAGAAGTCAAAAATGACGGTAGCATTTAATCAGTGAAAACCTCTTGCAACCGCCTTAGATAAGAGGGGGGACAAGCGCGTTTTTCTGCCTGCCTGGAGATGGCGCTCAAACAGGCAACACCTGTGGCTAGAAAGCGGACAGTACAGCAGGCGGCGCCTGTGGTTGTGTTTAAGGAGTTAAAATCATCAAGTACTGCATTGCTAGAAGGGATGGGAGGAGAGGAACTTCCTCTTCCGGATGGCTGATGGGAGGAAGTTGGTGTGTGCAGAGCGGCTTTTGTGCTGTTTCCATGGTGGAAGCAGCAGCTGGCAGGTGAGTGGAGGGCAGCAGGTGGGAGGAGAGTCCGGGAGCAACTTGGGCTGGAAGCGGAGAAGCAACTGGGCTGAAGCCTCTCAGCTGCGGCTGCTGCAGGTTCCTTCCCTCCCCAAATGGAAGCCCACTGGTGCTGCAGGCTGGGAAACTGGGGGCTGCAATTTCTGCTGGTGGGAAGCTTGAAAAAGCCTCCTTCCAATGCAGGTTGAGCCTTTGGGGCTGGTTTCCCTCCAGAGGGAGCTCCGTCACTGGAGGTTTGGAAGAGAGCTGGAAGAAACCTTGGAGGTCTTAATGACGTCTCAGACAAATGGCTGTCCCGTCGGTTTAAAAGCCACCAGCAATGGAGCCCCCACAACCTCTGGAGGGAAGCCATTCCCGAAGAATCAACCTTCACTCAAAAGGGACTTTTTCAGTCTTCCAGGCAGCAGAAAATTGCAGCCATTCCCTTCCACTGGCTAATTGTTCTCACCGATGGGATTTTTCCTTAATTCCAGGTTTTTTTCTCTCCTTGATTAGTTTCCATGCATTGCTTCTTGTCTTGTCCTTCTGGTGCTTTGGAAAAGAAGTTGACCCTTCAAGTATTGGAACACTGCTATCATGTCACCCCTAGTCCTTCCTTTCACTAGACGATTCATTCCCAATTACTGCAACCCACTAATTATCCCTTCTGCTCTTCTCTGCACTCTTTATAGAGTCTGGACGCCTGTTTTATATTGTGGTGATGAAAAGTGGTTGCAGTAATCCAAGTGTGATCTTAATTTAAAGCATTATAAATTGGTACTAAAACTTCATGTGATATCGATTCTATCCCTCTGTTTAGGCAGCCAGAGTTTCTCAGGCTTCTTGAGTTGTTTTCCCATTGATTGATTGATTGATTGATTGGTTCGATTTATATGCTGCCCTTCTCTGGAGACTCAGGGCGGCTTATAATGCGTTAAGCAATAGCCTTCATGCTTTTGTATATATCTGCTTAGTAGGGCTTTCGGGCCCCCCCAAGCGGTGTTCTTTTTTATACAAAGTTAGCTTATTGCCCCCACAATCCAGGCCCTCATTTTATCTACCTAGAAAGGATGAAAGGCTGAGTCAACCTTGAGCCTGGTGAGATTTGAACTTGCAGTAATTGCAGGCAGCTGGTGCCACTTAACAGCACTTTAGTCTGCTGCGCCACCAAGGCTCTTGTATAAGATTTTCATCCATGGAATCCTTCCCAAGCTGTCTCTTGGTTTGTTGAAATCAGCTGCTTTAAAGTCTAAGTCCTTAGTTTGATTTTGCTCTAATGCTTGTGTCTGCAATATATTGAATTCCAGTATGACATGGTCACTCTTCCTCCAATTTACCTGCAACCCCCCCTATAATTTCCTCTCTGCTAGTAAAAATTTAGATCACTATAGGACCGTGATGGCGAACCTATGGCACTCGTGCCACAGGTGGCACGCGGAGCCATATTAGTGGGCACGCCAGCTCAGCTCTGGGGCGCATGCGCGCACCGGCCAGCTGATTTTCAGGCCTTCTGGGCCCACCAGAAGTCTCCCCCCAAATTATCTGCAACTTCAACCCCCCCCTCCCCTATAATTTTCTCTCTGCTAGTAAAAATTTAGATCACTATAGGAGATCCTTAGTTCCCTTTTCTACCTTTTGGATGACAAGTTGTCATCTAGATTCATGAGGAACCTTTTAAGACAGGGTGACAAACTGGCGGCCCATGGGCTGGATGCGTGACATGCAGGCCACACCCACCCCAGCTCCATAAATGGGTAGAATGTCATAAAATGTCACATGACGGCAACATGACATGGCAAGTTTGACACTGGTGCTTTAAGACAAGATTGGCCAGCCATTTGTCTGGAATGTTATAGGGTATCCTGCCTGAGAAGGAGATTGGACTAGAAGACCTCCAAGGTCCCTTCTGACTCATAACCTATTCTGTTACGGGCTTGCTATTCTCTTGGCAACCAAATTGCACGGATTCTGCCACTAGTCTTTTTCTAGGGTTTATGTTTTTTAACTTCCAGGTCTTGCCAAAAGCACGGTATTTCTACTGACCGTATTTTTAGGACTATAAGACGCACCTGACTATAAGACGCACCTAAATTTAGAAGAGGAAAACAACAAAAAAAAGGTTTTGGCCTATCTTTTTTCGGGCCGTTTCCAGCCTTTTTTCGGTCTTTTTCTGGGGCTATTTTCACCCCATTTTTGAGTGCTTTTTTCAGCTCGTCTTTGAGGCTTTTTTTGGCTTGTTTCTGGGGCTTTTTTCCCTGTTTTTGAGGCTTCCCGCCCCCTGTTTTTGAGGTTTTTTGGGGGCTGTTTTGAGGCTTTTTTGGTCAATTTTTGAGGCTTTTTTGTCCCATTTTTGAGGCTTTTTTTCTGGCCTGTTTTTGAGGCTTTTTTTGGCCTGTTTTTCCGAAAAACCGTTCCTGTGCTTTTGAAGGTGCAGGAAAAGGAGAGACACCAACTTGGGTTCTGCCAACCGTTGCACATTTATGATGACTGCAGCATCCCACACTCAGGATCCCCGTTTGTGACCTTCTCAGCTAGATTCTGAAGCAAAATTAGTAGGGATGCCAGCAGGAAATTGCAAGTCGCAGTTTGTGGAACAGATGCAAGTTGGCACTGTCATGTGACATCATGCTTCCTGACCGGCTGCTTAGTGACACAGAAGCCAGTCCCAATTGCACTCAGTAAGTCAGGATTGCTTGAATTGGGATGTCACCAGAAGGGGTTGTAGACAGCATTTTCTTCTCTTATTTGCAGCTGAGGACTTTCATGAGCAAAATTGGTGCTTCAAATCTTGCAGAGGCTTTCGGCATCATTTCCTCAGTTCAAACCCCACATCTCTAAATTTAGCTCAGAAGGTTTGAGATTAACCATTTTGGGACATTTTGTCAGGCTGAAAACTCATGGAGCTTCCACATATATCATTTGTAGGTGTTTGTATCTGTATTTCTTTCTATATGCATATATCTGCAATTATATAATCTATCCTCAGTACATCCAGATATATTTGAGGATAACCCTTTTCAGTGCCAAAAATTTATGATTGACCCAAGTCAACAACATAATTTCATGGTTGAATAGATATCTTGGTACTCTTCCATGTGTCAAATGAATCATAATTAATGTAAGAGACTATTCTGGCATTGTGGCATGTTTGCTTTTTTGTTGTAATGTATACTTTTTTTTACATCTTCTGTAACCATTTTATACACAATTAAAGTTACACTTTTCTTTGAAATTTATAGACAAAGAGGATGGCAATAAGAGCACTCTGGACAACTGAGAATAACAAGCAACGTTGAAAAGGAAATAAAATTGAGCCAGAAATCAAAATATATTCCATTTCCTTCAGAAAAGCACACAATTCTCCTTCTCCAGCAGCTAATAGACAAAAGAGAGAAAATTAACATGAGATTTTGAGCTGGAAAAAGTAGAGGATACGAAACTCAAGAATACATTGCATGAAAGATCAAGGAAGATTATTTTTCACTCAGAAAAAGATGGAAATAGCTGGAAGTTAGAGGGAAGGAAAAGGTCTTATTGGGCAGGGCACATAGGACAGACAATGATACAGGCCTTGCTCTGGGAAGAAGCAAACGGCTTTAATCAAAGCACCACTAAACAATAGATCACACATATTTTTGACCTCAAGAATATCAGTTGTGGAAAAGCTCCATAGATCTGCCTATTGTAGAAAAAGCACAGATTGCAAATCATAGCTGATTTAACAAGAAGATCCCAACTGTACAAAAGCCATACAAATTATCTGAATATGCCAAAAAGTTTGGTCAGAACAGCTTCCTTGTGGTTCATGGAACGACTCACACAGGAGAGAAGCCATATGAGTGCTCCCGATGTGAATACTTTAGTGAACATGGCAACATGGTGATACATCACGTAAGAGTGTCCAAATTGTGTGAAAGTATCATTGGAAATTACCATCTCATGAGACAACAAAGGACACGCACAGGAGAGAAAGCCTTTCAATGTCCTGATTGTGGGAAAAGTTTCAGAAACAATTCCAGCCTGGTGACACACCAGAGGACTCACACAGGAGAGAAACCATTTGAATGTCCTGATTGTGGGAAAAGTTTCAGTCAGAATTCCAACCTGGTGGCACACCAGAGGACTCACACAGGAGAGAAACCATTTGAATGTCCTGATTGTGGGAAAAGGTTCAGTCAGAATTCCAGCCTGGTGACACACCAGAGGACTCACACAGGAGAGAAACCATTTGAATGTCCTGATTGTGGGAAAAGATTCAGAAACAATTCCAGTCTGGTGGCACACCAGAGGACTCACATAGGAGAGAAACCATTTGAATGTCCTGATTGTGGGAAAAGTTTCATTCACAATTCCAGCCTGGTGAAACACCATAGGACTCACACAGGAGAGAAACCATTTGAATGTCCTGATTGTGGGAAAAGTTTCAGTCGCAATTTTGACCTGGTGACACACCAGAGGACTCACACAGGAGAGAAACCATTTGAATGTCCTGATTGTGGGAAAAGTTTCAGTCGCAGTTCCAACCTGGTGAGTCACCAAAAGATTCACACAGGAGAGAAACCCTTTGAATGTCCTGATTGTGGGAAAGATTTCAGTCAAAATTCCCACCTGGTGACACACCAGAGGACTCACACAGGAGAGAAACCATTTGAATGTCCAGATTGTGGGAAAAGTTTCAGTCAGAATTCCAGCCTGGTGACACACCAGAGAACTCACACAGGAGAGAAACCATTTGAATGTCCTGATTGTGGGAAAAGTTTCAGTCGCAATTCCCACCTGGTGACACACCAGGATACTCACACAGGAGAGAAACCATTTGAATGTCCAGATTGTGGGAAAAGATTCAGTCAGAATTCTGAGCTTGTGAGACACCAGAGGACTCACACAGGAGAGAAACCATTTGAATGTCCTGATTGTGGGAAAGGTTTCAGTCAGAATTCCCACCTGGTGAAACACCAGAGGACTCACACAGGAGAGAAACCATTTGAATGTCCAGATTGTGGGAAAGATTTCAGTCAAAATTCCCACCTGGTGATACACCAGAGGACTCACACAGGAGAGAAACCATTTGAATGTCCAGATTGTGGGAAAGATTTCAGTACTAAGACTAGCCTTTTAAATCATGTGCTTATACACATGGGAGAAACCATTTAAGTGCCCCAAGAGTGGACGGTGCTTCAGGAAACATTCCACCCTTATTGCACACAAGAAAATGTGCATGGATTTTCCAAAGTGATGAGTGATGATCTAAAGCAGTGGTTCCCAAAGGGGCCGTACCAAAGTTGGGGGCCGGTGGGATGACTTAGGGGGGCAGTAAGAAGCAAGGGGGCAGCAGGGAGGCGCTAGAGGCAAAAGGGTGCGGCAGGGCGGCGCTAAGTGGTAAGGAGGGTGGCCCCCACCCTTTGGCCTGTGCCTCGCAGCAGTTACCTCCTTGCAAGGAAACAGCAAGAAAAAACAGCTCCTTTCAGCTTCAGCACAGGCTAATTAGCACAAGTTGATTAGATTGGCCTCCTGACTCTCAGCTGTTTTGCGCAGGGCTCTCCTGCTTGCTGCAAAGAGTGTTGGAGCAGGTTTTTTCCCCTTGTGCTAATCAAGCTATGCTGAAAACGAAACTGAAAGTAAAGCCTGCTGTTTGCTGTTTGCTGCAAGGAAAAATGAGGCAGAGGCAGAGGGAGATTTGTTTTTCTTCTTTTTCCTCACTAAAAAAGGTAGGTGCAAACAATGGGAAATTTAGGGCGGGAGAGGAGAGTTCAAAATTTTAAAACACAAAAGAAAAAAAGGGGAAAGAAAAAGGCAAAAATAAAAATGGGAAGGGAGAAAAAGAAATGAAAGAGAAAGATGTTATACATATTTAGAATTGAAATATGAATAATAGTAAGAAATAAATGGGAAATCATGATTGTAAAAATGAAATGAATAATAATTGGAATATTTGTCTTTGTATTTTTGAAATCTAGATGACGATAAGTTTTCTTTTTTCTTTTTTTTAGAAATATGAATAAGTATAAACTTTAACAATTGAAATACCTTTAATGGTGTATGGTGTTGAAAGTAAAAAAGGAGTAAGTTGTAGGTTGGATAACATTGTTCTATTTTTAATTAACAGCATTTTCACACATAATTTCTACAACTAGCATCCTTCTCTTTATTAACAAATTAATGTTTTCACTGACTCTTAACCATTTTCTTAGTCTCTCCACAGTTCTCTTTCTTGATGTTTTCCTCCCTTTCTCCCATTTCTTTACCTTCTTCTTTTTCCTGTTCTTATATCTCCCCTTCAGCCTTTTTCCTTTAATTTTAACTCTATTACATTTCATTCTCAATCTTACCCCATTTATTTCACTTCATATTTGAGATGTATTTTGGGTGTCCTCCTGGACTCACGGTTGAGTCTAGAAGATCATATAATGACCATGACCAGGGGGCCATACGCCCAGATTCGTCTGGTGCGCCAGTTGCGTCCCTACTTGGACCGAGATGCCCTACGCACAGTTACTCATGCGCTAGTCACCTCACATATTGACTACTGTAACACTCTCTACATGGGGCTGCCCTTGAGGGCCACTCGGAGGCTTCAGCTGGTGCAAAATGCAGCCGGGCGGGTTGTGATGGGAGAATCCCGATACTCCCATGTTACACCCCTCCTGCGTGACTTGCATTGGTTACCGATTACCCTCCGGGTGAGATTCAAGGTGCTGGCGATGACCTATAAAGCCCTACGTGGCTTAGGCCCAGGATATTTGGCGGACCACCTGTAGCCAGCAACGACATCCCATCGCCCGGTCCGCGCCCTTAGGGCCTGGTCAGGGTGCCGTTGGCTAGACAGTGTCGGCTGGCGGCCCCCAGGGGTAGAGACTTCTCTGTGGGTGCGCCCACCCTCTGGAATCAACTACCCTTGGAGCGCCGGTTGGCCCCCTACCTTCGCACCTTCCACCGCGAATTAAAAACTTGGTTATTCAAGTTCCACAACCTGGACTGATGGGGTTTTAAGGGTTTTAAATTTTAGTGGGTCTAATCAGATTTTAACTTTGTATTATGGCTTTGTGAATTTTATTATTGTGAGCCGCCCTGAGTCCATTGGGAGATAGGGCGGCATATAAGCCAAATAAAATAAATAAATAAATAAATATTTTCCCATATCCATTTTTATTCTATCAGTATTGAACCCAGTGTAATCATCTTTATCTTTTCCCCCCAATTATTTCCTTTTCAATATTATCTCCTTGTTTCTCTTGCTTCTCATTCATCTTTTTTTTTTTTGCAAGCTAACCAATTCTCTGCTTCTTTATTTCCCTTAAATGCCTCCCTTACTTTTTGAAAAATCTCCCTTAGTCTCTCATATTCATCCTCCCAATTCTCCATATTTTCAATTTTAAAAGGCTAGGATTTTTAAGCTTATTCTTTTCATTTCCATATGTGGGGGTGAGATGCTTTTCAAGGAGCCACAAGGGGGGCTGAGAGCAGAGTCATTCTGACAGTGTCTTTTAAAATTGCTTGGAAGACCCATTTTTTCCCTAACAATAATGTATACTTTGTATACTTTGTAATAAACGTATACCTGGAAAAAGTACTTGCAAAACTTGGACAGAAGGAAAAGGAAGGCAGGACTGGACTCATTATCAGTAGCTAGTAGTTCATTGTTATCAGTGACTTCCGCTGATTTTAAACTCATTTAAGACTGGGATTGGTGACTACTGAAATATTCAACATTGGTCTCAGAAATCTTTGATTTGAACTATCAAATCTTTGATTTGAACTCTTATTTGAACTATGCCAAGAAAAATCGTAAAATGGGGCAAAACTCACTTAACCATAATAATTTCTAGATATTTTAAGTGTAGAGAATTCAAGTGTTGAGAATGACCCATTATTTCATCTCTTTTTCCGCACTAGGTACCACTATTTGATTTCTTTTCCTTTTATTCAAATAACAACAGAAAACCCAATACAGTTCAGTATGAATTGGCTTTCCAGTCCTTCCGTGATGCACTTTTTCACATTGGTTATCTAGTTTAAATGCCAAAGGAAAATCAATGATATATTTTTCAGACCTTTGGAGGATCACACTGTCAATTGTTCACACTACTCAAGCAAAACTAACAGGTGTGAATTAAGTTTTAGCTAAAAAATGGAGCTTTAATTCCAGAAGTCCATTCTTTAAACTTGGACATTCTTTAAACTTGGACTTCTGGAATTCAAAGGCTCTGGATTAAATGGTACTCCAGACAAAAGATGGAGAAGAGTATCTTGCTTTTAGATATGATAATAGCTGTCTAGAAAGGTGAGTTATGAGCTATTTTTACATCATCAGAAATTTAATTTATTACCTGTTAAAAATGCAAAGAGAAGGAGTACAAGGAGCAAATAAAAGACCTTCATGTTGGGGTTGGTTCTGGACCAAATCTTACTTGTGGGACAGAAACCAGCTCTCAGCCCTCCTTGTGACTTCTTGAAAAGCATCCCCCCCCACACGCTCCACCGCCTGAGGAGGCAGGGGAGGGCTGCAGGTTGATCCCAAGGGGGTCTGGGAATGGGTGTGAATTCATCCCACAGCCCTCTCCATCCCCTCCTCTGTGAAATTGCTTTCTCCCACTCGCTGGTGGTCAGCAAATTCAAAAGGAACCCCCAGCTGAGAATCACTGCTCTAGATCGGTTGATTCAGGGGATTTCTCTAGCGTTAACTAATAGTGTTAGCTATCTTTGTTACAGGGATAAATTTGTATTGGAGCAGCCTGCAGACCTCCCAAAGGCTCTGCACACCCTGTTTTTGCAAAAAACGGGCCGGTTTTTCACAAAAACGGGATATGCGGGGCAAGGCTTCAGGAGGCCAAAAATGGCTGCATTCCGTTTATTTTACTGTTACTGTCTTCCTTAGTGGGTCATGCAAACCGCTATTCCGAACAATGCTATTTATAGGGGGTGGGGGTGGGTTGCCCCGGTTCTATAGAACCGGAAGTAAAGCTGGCAGGAGGCCCCGCCCACCGACCCTGACATCACCAAAACGCTTCTGTGCATGTGCAGAAGAGTGCGTGCATGCGTGAGCGAAGTGAGCGTTCGCGGCCCCATTGCAAACCAGTAGTAAAGATAAGTAGAATCCACCCCTGGGTGGGGGGCACTGAGGATGAGTTTGTAGTACCAAGGGGGCGGTGGACTGAAAACGTTTGGGAACCTCTGACCTAAAGTGATGAGTGTAAAGGCTTGAATTTTAAGTCCAGCTGAGAAATTAACTCTTCAATTTGACCAGAAAGAATTTGCTTGATTGTTTTTGTCATCAAATATGTCATAGTATTAGATGGGAAGGAGGAAAGAAAAAATTGGAACATGTTAGTTTGATAATGGCTGTCTGGCTGGCCATCAGCAGCAGAAGTTGCTGGGTATTTATTTCTGCAGAAATTGTGCAATTCTGCAAAAATCATTTTAGGAGTGTTCTCTGCATTTTTATCATAATCAATGATAGAAATGCCACATGCAGAGTACCAGCCTTTCTCTCCCTGGGTATCCTCGAGATTTTCCACCCCAGAATTTCCCAGGCAGCATCTCTTCGGGATAAGAGCGCTCAGGCTGTAGTTAGAGGTTGTGGGTCCTCGTGGAAGGAGAAAACAAGAGGAAAGAGAAATAGTTTATCTTTGCCTAACAATTCATTGCACCAAGCATGTCTGCTCAGGGGGTGAATGAGGCACGCAAGTGGAAGAAACCAGATGAATAACAAATATATTGGGGGAGTTTGGGGCAGTGACAAAAGCAGTGTAAAATTTCAGATGCAAAGGCTACTCTGCCTTGAATGTGACCTTCATGGAGAAGAGCTGTAGGAATATTGAGTTGAGGAAAGGGATTGTGTTTTTGAGTACAGGATCTCCAGGTTCATTCGCAACTCCTGTTGTGATCTCCTTCGCTTGGAGGTTCCTCCTTTGTTAGTCTTTGATGACTGGGAGGTGTGAGCAGAACCAAGGGATTGATACTTTTGTGGTTCCCCCCTTGGTAGGGAAATGTGAGGGGAAAAATTGTACAGTAGATGTTTCATTTCTAAAACCGCATTGCATAAGACTCGTGAATAGATTTTGAGGGGGGAAAAGGAAAGTGTCAGCATTTCTGTAAACATTGGGACAATGTAATGCAACACTCTCTTCCCAACACCTGGGAGATCTTTCCTGTTCTTTCATTTCTCTCCCAGGACTCCTTAATTTGTTTAAAAAATTCCTTCAATCAAAGGGGAACGTTATTTGTAGCAGGGAAAGTGATATGTTAGCTATGCAGATGGATTATCCTGATTTTGCTCGGATTGGAAGACACCAGAGAATTCCAAGATCATTCATTTCACCAACAAGATTCAAAAAGACAGGTTAAAATGTTTTTTAGTAGGTCACATTGCATCTGATCCCTTTGAAGGATACTCGGTGATCAGGAGCAGATCAGGAATGGCATGTGGAGAAACCAAGATGTAACTCAATGGTCTGTCTGGATAATCACTGGGGACTTCCATAACTGAGAATAGGATCGGATAGGATAGGATTGAATGGAAATGAATTCTTTATTGGCCAAGTGTGATTGGACACAAGGAATTTGTCTTTGGTGCATATGCTCTTAGTGTACAGAAAAAGACAAGATACATTTGTCAAGAATCGTAAGGTACAACACTTAATGATAGTCATAAGGTACAAATTGTCAGACCTCCGCTGAGGGCCTGCGCCAGTAGGAAAGAAAACGCTAAAAGCTCTCAGTTGCTCTAATCGTTTATTCCTTTGAACAGCCCTGTCATCGATAGATGAACTTGAGCGCAATACACGCAGAGTCGGCGTTGGGAGCGGCTGCTTTCCAACGCCTTTTAAATCCTCGCGCCAGCCCAGCAACGCCCTTCCGGTTGCGATCTTCTCAGCGCATGCGTGGAAGGGACCATCTGGCAGCGCAACCGATGTGCGGGGCAGC